TATTTGGTTTAGTTATGAATATGGTTCTCGAATTCGTAAAACTAAAGTGTTCGAGAATTACATTAACTGATTTTCTCTTTCTACCTGTATATGTTTTAGTTGCGGTTTCTCGTATATCTCATGCATTTTAAAACCTGTTTTCAATAGATATCCGTAAATGGATCACAAAGATTAATTTTCATCGTTGAAAACATCTTGAAAGTGATACTTAATAACAATTTTTTTGTACACGTACGTGGTCGGCATGCAACGCAATTATATCGAAGATTCTTCTTATTGAAAATGAAAAAAAGACATACTTGAAAGTAACTGTTGTTACTCGCTCGACTTAAAGTCAATCTAGATCCACAGCCGCATGTAATGATTGCTAATTGATCACCATTGCTTGTATTTTTAAATTCAATCTTATAATCCACATTTTCTTCTAGTGTATTATCATTTATCAAATTATATTCAACACGATGATTAAGATACCATTGAGAAATATTGTATTTAAATGTTTTCGAAGTTGATCAGTGGATTTTACTTGATTATCAATAGGTGGTGTACCAGATGACATGAATGAATTCATATTAAAATTTTTGGTTTTTTTTCATATCTTCTTCTAACTTCTTGAGAAGACGTTTCTTCAAATTTTTAAATGAGACGATGATGCCAGGGTAAAACGATGCAGGTTCCATCATTTGTTATTAAACAAGCTATATGTTTCAGTTCATTCAGCTTCTCGCTGTTATATTGCAAAATTTCCGTGGGATCATTACATTCAATAAAAGTACCAGGCATCGCTAATAAGTTGAAGTTTAAGAATTTTTGCTTGAATAGGTCCACAATGGAGTTCAATAAAAATTGTAAAACATCTCGTGTTGTAAATCAAATACATTCATTGGAAGTGTACCAGTATTCACATGCATGGGGATTCGGTCATAACAAATAATGTAATATTGAAATTTTGCCTGAGAAACAAAAAATTTGTTATTGTCTCAAAGATGGTCAGATGAAAATAATTGATCTAAAGAACGACAATAGATAAAAAAATAATATAAATTTCGAATCGCTTCATTTCAGTGAGATACACGAGGTGGATAGAATTTTCTCTTTGTCTGTTTTTTATTCTACGTAGTCTAGTTATATAAGAACGAAAAAGCATTCATTCGTTAGAATATTTTATTGTGAATTGTATCACATGTTTTCTATATATTAATAGAACAGAGAGAAATATATTCTACGCTATAAGATATAAAGAAAATATCCAATGAATGTGTGCTAGTATGAATTTTTTGATTTTAATTAAATAATTTGAAAAAAAACATAAATAGTGATTGAACAAAAATATCAAGTTCGAGTATATCTTTCGACTGTAAGAATTTCTTAAAGCTACTGATTTAAAATGATTTATGCTGAGTTACAATGAGTTTAAGCTGATTTATGTGATTTAAAATGAGTTAAGATGATTTAACGGATTTAATTTTGAGTTTTAGCTGACTTAAATCAGTCGATTCCCCCTTGTTCGTGATCCTTTCACTAAATTGAATATAGTCTCTTTTTTCTAGTGTGTGTAGTTTATTTAGATTTCTGTTGAGTATCGATGTATGGATACCAGTTTGATGAGATGAGTTTATGACAAAAATTCTTACATGGACACACATACCATCATGCACCAGGAGACTGACACTAGTATCAGCATCCATACACACATGATTTTTCAAATGTTGGATAATCGCTTTGTTGAGAGCTGTAAACAAGTATAAAATACCAAAAGAGCTGAATATTTAGTCGAGAATAAAGCGAGTCACACAGATGAACGTTACATGTTTCTCGCATTTACAATTTGACGGGATAATTGCAAATAAAGCAAAACAAGAAATATGTCATATATATTTCATAGAATAATGTTTGAAAATTCGAGAGGCTTTTCATAGATCAGCAATGTTTATCTTGAGATTATTTCTATTAATGATTTTATCATGAAGAAGATTAACTATGAAAAATAATTCTTGTAATCTTATTTAGTAATTAAAGATTGAACTGATTAACAATACAATTTAATAAAAGACATGCTTCCAAGAAAGAGATGATCCGTAACATATCGAAAAAACTAGTTTTGATCATTAAATGATTTTTATATCTGAATTAGTTGCAAAATCATAGAAGAAAACCCACACTTCTCATTAAATGTCTTCACGTTTCTCATATATCTCTATCACCGTAAACATAAACAAAAAAAAGAGTTAAAAAAATAATTGTTGTTAACAAAGTTGAGAATTTGACTAAAAAAGGTTTCTCGTCTTGTAACAAAATCCTATTTCTATGAAGAGAAACTTTCTCTCTCTTATTTTAATAATTTTTCTTGTCTCTATTTTAGATTATCCATTACGTTCTCCATCCAGCACCAACATTCATCCGAATGCTCGATGGCAACAAAATGGTATCACTGTAACTGGAGGAAATCGACAAGGCAATGAAATCAATCAACTCTCAAACCCATGTGGTTTGTATGTTGATGATGATCAAACAATCTATGTTGCTGATACATCGAATCATCGTATTGTGGAATGGAAACGAGGTGCAACAAGTGGCCAAGTAGTTGCCGGTGGAAATGGACAAGGAAGTGGAGATCATCAATTGGATAACCCAACAGATGTGATTATCGACAAAGAGAGAGATAGTCTCATCATATGCGATTATTCGAAAAGAAGAGTGGTTCGATGGCCTCGTCGAAATGGGACAAGTGGAGAAACAATCATCTCCAACATCTCTTGTTGGGGTTTGACAATGGACGAGAATGGATCTCTCTATGTCACTGATGATGTAAAAAATGAAGTGAGACGATATCGAAGAGGAGAATCTCAAGGAACAGTGGTTGCAGGTGGCAATGGAAGTGGAAATCGTCTGGATCAACTCTCTCGCCCACAATACGTATTCGTCGATCGAGATCATTCAGTATACGTATCTGAATGGGACAATCATCGTGTGATGAAATGGATGGAAGGTGCAAAACAAGGCATTATCGTGGCTGGTGGTCAAGGAAAAGGAAAGGATCTTACACAATTGTCATCTCCTCGAGGAGTCGTTGTCGATCAATTGGGCACTGTCTATGTGGCTGATTGGGGGAGTGATCGAATCATGCGTTGGCCTAAAGGAGCCACACAAGGAAGTGTCATTGTTGGTGGAAACGGTAGTGGAGGACAATCGAATCAACTCAATGGACCCATCGGTTTGTCATTCGATCGACACGGGAATCTCTATGTTGTCGATTATGGAAACGCTAGCGTCCAAAAATTTGAACTTCAATCCAATCCAAAATGAACTGCGAAACACATACAAAACATTCGAAAAAAAACTTTTCATAAATGACTCACCCAATTAACTAATTAATTAATTAACAAAAGTAAAAACTAATTCACACTACATTCTAACTATATTATAATAAATGAATAAAACCAACCTTAATTAAATGTAAAAACACACATTCCATAATAGGAAACCGTAAACACACATAAAAAAAGGGAACAACAAAACAGGGCGGAGACCTGGCTGACTTTCCTCAAAACGGAAACCTTGGATTTTCACCGCTGACTCCAAGGATTCCAAGAGAGGCAACAAAGTGTGGCATTTGCAATATTGTAGATCATGATGAATTCTATCAGATTCCAAGGATTCCACTAGATTGTAAAGTGAGAACCCATGCACCTTTGGACCCTCCGAAAACCCCTATGGTCTCCATAGGCCTTTTCAAGCATTCCCGCTGACTCCAAGCATTCCATGAGAGGCAACAAAGTGTGGCATTTGGAATATTGTAGATCATGATGAATTCGATCAGATTCCAAGGATTCCAAAAGATTGTAAAGTGAGAACCCGTGCACCTTTGGACCTCCCGAAACCCCTATGGTCTCCATAGGCCTTTTGACACATTACCGCTGACTCCAAGAATTCCATGAGAGGCAACAAAGTGTGGCATTTGGAATATTGCAGATGATGATAAATTCTATCAGGTTCCAAGGATTGCAAAACATTCTAAAGCGAGAACCCATGCACCTTTGGACCTCCTGAAAAACCCTATGGTCTCCATAGGCCTTTTGACGCATGACCGCTGACTCCAAGGATTCCATGAGAGGCAACAATGTGTGGCATTTGGAAAATGGTAGGTGATGATGAATTCTATGAGATTCCGAGGATTCGAAAAGATTGTAAAGTGAGAACCCATGCACCATTGGAACTCCCGAAAACCCCTATGGTCTCCATAGCTATCTTGTAGCATTGCCAAGGCTTCCAAGGATTTCATCAGAGGCAACAAAGTATGGCATTTCGAATATTGTAGATCATGATGAATTCGATCAGATTCCAAGGATTCCAAAGGATCGTAAAGTGAGAACCCATGCACCTTTGGATCTCCCGAAAACCCCTATGGTCTCCATAAGCCTTTTCAAGCATTCCCGCTGACTCCAAGGATTCTATGAGAGGCAACGAAGTCTGCCATTTGGAATATTGTAGAAAATGATGAGTTCTATCAGATTCCAAGGATTCCAAGAGATTGTAAAGTGAGAACCCATGCACCTTTGGACCTCCCGAAAACCCCTATGGTCTCCGTCGCTATCTTGAAGCATTGCCAAGGCTTCCAAGAATTCCATGAGAGGCGACAAAGTGCGGCATTTGGAATATTGTAGATCATGATGAATTCTATCAGATTCCAAGGATTCCAAAAGATTGTAAAGTGAGAACCCATGCACCTTTCGACCTCCCGAAAACCCCTATTTTCTCCATAGGCCTTTTGACGCATTACCGCTGACTCCAAGGATTCCATGAGAGGCAACAAAGTGTGGCATTTGGAATATTGTAGATCATGATGATTTCTATCAGATTCCAAGGATTCCAATAGATTGTAAAGTGAGAACCCATGCACCTTTGGACCTCCCGAAACCCCTATGGTCTCCATAGGTATTTTGAAGCATAGCCAAGGCTTCCAAGGATACCCTGAGAGGCGACAAAGTGTGGCATTTGGAATATTGTAGATCATGATGATGTCTATCAGATTCCAAGGATTCCAAAGGATCGTACAGTCAGAACCTATGCAACTTTGGACCTCCCGAAAATCGCTATGGTATCCATAGGTATTTTGAAGCATTGCCAAGGCTTCCAAGGATTCCATGAGAGGCAACAAAGTGTGGCATTTGGAATATTGTAGATCATGATGATTTTTATCAGATTCCAAGGATTCCAATAGATTGTAAAGTGAGAACCCATGCACCTTTGGACCTCCCGAAACCCCTATGGTCTCCATAGGTATTTTGAAGCATAGCCAAGGCTTCCAAGGATTCCCTGAGAGGCAACAAAGTGTGGCATTTGGAATATTGTAGATCATGATGA